AGCGCCTGTGGGGTCCCTTCTTCGCTGCGGTGGGGGCCCGGGGCCAATCCCACCAGCACCCGATATCAAGATCTGGCTGCCGCCATGGCCGCCAGAGATCTTGAACCTTCCGTCGCAGTTGGGCCCCGGCGGAGACGCCCCTGTCGTTCCAGGGGCAGTGCTGGCGCCTGCCAGTGCCAACAGCATTCCGCACGGGGCCCAGCAAGAAGTCCAACGCTGGCGCCATCCCCTCAGACTTTGGCGCTGGGGACAGAAGCACGACGGGAGTTTCCTTCGCGGTCCTGGGCCGCTGGGGGCCCCACGGATGGATCCGGCTCGAGATATGCTTACCGCAGGAAGACGGGCTCGAGGCCTCAAGCATCGATTTTCTCGCGCCGCTGTGATGGTTCGTTTCGTGACGTGGAATCTTGGGGACTGCTGGCGTTCCCCCATCCGTAGGGAGTGAGAAACTGACCAGTGCCACCAAGACTCGACAGGTCTACCCAGGACTTTAACAGTTGGGACTGAAGACCGGCCCTCGAGCTGCGTCCAGCCGTGACCACGACGGATCCCCAGGAGGCCCATCGCAACGACACGCATCCGAAAGCCCGAAAGCTGCCCCTCGACCCGCGATCCTCTGCGCGGGGTGGGTGGGTGGAACACAAACGTGTATGCGCGCCGCCGAGGGGGAGGCACCAGTGGTACTCCTTCCTGGGCCCAGCGTTCTCGAGGCGGCGCCCATCTTGCCCGGGAGGAACCGAGGCGAAGAGCTGCTGCTCTCGTGCGGCGGGGCCGACCACGGGGGCTCCGGGTCGAATTGGGAGCAAAGGCTTGCTCTCTTGGGCCGAAGCGACTGCACAGACAGGAGGGGGGAGGGAGGGGGGAGGGAGGGGGGAGGGAGGGGAGGGAGGGGGAAGGAAGAGACATGCCTACCTTTCCGCACCCGCTTCGTACCGCTTCTCCCCCTTTCGCATGCCAAGGTGGCCAGGAAGGGTTTTGTTGTTTGCCACGCACGTCGTACCAAGGTATCTGCTCCCTCATCATTCGAGGCCCTCGGGCGCAGCAGCTGCAAAACTGATGTCCGTACAGCGCAATTCAGAGAACCAGAAGGTATCGACACCGCTATTCCTCGGACCTCTCCCGGGGTGCGTCCCGAGCAGAATTTCGCAGCGAAGCCAAAGGTGGCGACGAGGGCTTGCCAGGAGGCGCAGAAAAAGTGAAAACGAGGGAAAGGCAACGGCATGGGTACCTCCAACCTCTTCTGAGCCCAAGGGAGGAAGCCCCGCCGTGTGGAAGCGCCACGCGCCTCCTTGGGGAGGCGCCGCGGCGGACAACGGAAACGCGCCTGCGCGGCGGCGGGGCCGACAAGCGAGAGGCCGCAGGACGAGGCCGAGACGGCGGCCGCAGCAAGGGGGGGCGGGCCCCCGGACTCCACGCCCCGCGCCCCGCGGTGTGCGGCAGGGCCGTAATTCGTTGCCTTTTCGTTTTTTGTTTTCGTTTTGCCCCGTCTGTTTTCCTGCACCTGCCTGGCAGAGGGAGAAACGAATTACACCAGAGAGAAGCCCCAATCAGTGGATGGTTTTCGCTGAAGAGATCGACCGGCAACCCGGGAGCCCAGGAACCCAGAACCCACCGAAATCGGCCCGGACCCAATCACCGGGAACCCGGGACCCCGGAACCGGGCACCCGGGAACCCAGCCTGCCACCAGCATCGGCGGGAACGTTTTCGCCACATTTTCCAACCTTTGCTAGGACCCCTTCAGTGCAAGCGCTGACAGGGGAATCGCAGCCGAAGTCCAGCAAAACAGCGTCTAGGTCCAGCCCCACGGCCTGCGACGCGCGGCCTCGCGCCTCGGCCCCCGGGAAGCTTCAGAAACTTCTCCGAAGGCCACGGGGGTGTCCGACCCCTTTGAGGAGGCCCGCCCATTCTCACTTGACCGCTCGCTCGCCGCCGGAGAAACACGCGTTCGTCATACTGTTGCCACTCAACATGAGAGATAGCAGCTTCGATTCGCACTGCTCACAGAAGCTGATCCGTTGGAGGCACAATAAGGCACGAAATTGGCAACGACATTGCCCGGGCGCCCGGGGCAACTTCGTTGGCTTAGTCATCTGCGACACGGCGGGATGGACACCCCTGGCAGCCCGCCCGACGGTGCGGGCGTTGGGCCACGCTCCAATTCTCATCTCTGAGACATGCACACGAACCGTCGGCGCTGCAATCATCAGCGTTAGCAGCGCTGGGCCGCATCAGCGTCGTCGCCGCGGCAAGCTCAACCTGGCTGGCCAGGGGCAGTCGACAAGCACGAGAAGCCAGGAGAACGACGCGTGGGCGCAAAATTGCCCGCGCGAAATTGCCCGCGCGAGCTTGCCCGCGCGAGTTCGCCCGCACGAAATGACCCCGGAGCTGCCGCCCAGAATGGCCGCGCGCGAAAGATACAACAATTGATTAACCCGGAGTCGCTTGCGAGCGCCAGGCCGCGCCTGCGAGCGCCCCCCAAACCAGAAACCACTTGAGACATTCGCAAAAAAATCTCGCGCGGAAAATTTCGCGCAACATTTCTTGGCGCAGTTCGTGCTGGAGCTCCAGCAATAATTCGTGTATAATTTCGTGTTCGTGCGGAATTAAATCCGTGTTCCCCCGAACATACTTTCGTGTTTGTGTGGGAATAATGCAGTGTTTCTGCGATAATCAATCCGGGTTTAAGCGACCGCAATTTCGTGCTCTACCACGCATGAACTCGCGTTCGGGCAGCACCCGCTTTGCTTTTGCACGGCAATTACGCGCAAGCATGGAAAAGCACGACGGCCGACTACAAGGGGATATGTGGAAAGAAAAGCGCGGCAAGCGAACCCCCGCGCGTGTGGCGGCGCCACGCGCGCAGTCGAAGCAACAGAGCGCCGCGACTCACCCTTCGGCGAGGGGGGGGGGGGCAGGCAAGCGGGACAGATAGGTCCTACAACGCCGCGCTGGGGAGCCGAACGAAGCAGTTGCTCGGCTGTTCCTGACGCCGCGGATGTGAGTTGCAATGCCGATTCTGCCCCCTCAAAATGGCACG